TCCAATTGCTGCAAGTCAGACCCACATCAGACGTTTGAGCTTTGGTAAGGAATGTAGATTGAAGGAAGGATGGGCAAATACAAGGCATGTTAGATGTTGGAGAAAGCTTTATAGAGAAGTACAGGAGAATGCTAGCGTTGTTAGCAAAGGCTTAAAGGAAAGCTAAAATTGTGTAAATGAAAACTGATGTTATAGAAGCAGAGAAATATGTATTTCAGAATCTTGTCAGTATAATTATTTACCGTGTTTCTCATAAAATAAGGCCGGGTCTTATTTTTTTTTGAGCCCCGAAAAAACGGCTAGGACGTCTTTTCAGGGGTGACTTAATTTCTTCCCCCACGCACACTTCCACCTAGAGTGCCCCATGTGCACTCACCTCTCCATGAGGCCGCCACTGGAAGTTCCCCAAAGGTAGAGTCACCAGCTGCTTCTATCGGCCGGTAGAAGTGGCCTCGGGGCAAGCACCCATGCGCACTCACCTTGCCACGAAGCTTTTCCTATCAGCCGATGGAAGCTCCCCAAAGGCAGAGTCACCAGCCGCTTTGAGGTGAGGCGTGGCTGCCCACAGGGCGCTCCTGATAGGAGCGCCCCACGCACGTTCTCCTTGAGGCTGTTTCTATCGGCCGATGGAAGCTCCCAAAAGGCAGAGTCACCAGCCACTTCCATCGGCCAATAGAAATGGCTTCAAGTGTTGAAAATGTAGCATTCTGAGAGCAACAAGGTAAACAATTAGTGGAGTGGTTATATATGTGCAACCTAAACAAGTGGAGGAGATACGGTAAGAGGTTGCTCTGTTTTGTTTAAATTGAAGCAGTTAGAGTGCTGTGTTGTTTCTTTGATTATATCTTATGATGTCACTGTTATATTATTGGTATCCTGCAGGATTATCCAACTGACAGGCCTCTGTGAGGTCATTGCCTGTGTAACCACTGATAATATTTCAACAAGATGAGCTGTTCTCTTCTAGTTCTTCTCCACTGAACTGTGTTTTCTTTTCATCTCTTTCCAAGCAATCATACCAAGCAAGATGCAGGTTGAGCCATGTTTTCTATTTATTTTAACTATGCTATTCCAAAGAAATTAAGTTTCATTATGGTTTAAATTCAAAACTGGTATGATTTTTATTTCTGAACCTGTGCAACCATAAATATATTGATACAAAGTATTCCTAATGCTGTTTATTTAATAATACTTAATTATTGTAACACAGAAAAGAACTATAAAGTAAAGGACAACTTTAAAAGAAAGTAGGACAAAGACCAAGAGAAAACAGAGGAAAAATAAGAGAACAGCTGGTATTATCTTCATAGTATAAAAATCTAAAGGGCGTATAAAATATATCTCTGATCAGGATTTTTTTTTTCTGTAGTGTCAGGTATGTATCTGAAATGTGTGCCCTACTGAACACCAGAGTCTGTGGTTTGAAGACAGCTATTGACAACTGATGCAACTGGGTCCCTGAGGAATATCAAAGTAGGCCACTGAAGGTAAAAGATTGATGGAACATATCCAGTTGGAATAAATAAGAAAAAACAGGTAAAATAAATTCTTCATGTTCTTAAATTATTCCAGATTGGAATTTCCCTGTGAACAATATAATAGAAGATATATTATAAATCCTCTTATGAAAGGCCGCTACATTTTACTTTTGTGATAATATTGGCAATTTCTATTTCTTAACCACAATTAAAATATGTTCAGTGTTTTTATTTTACTACTTCTTATTAACAGCATATGCATGTCTTACTTTCTAATACTTTATTGTAGTACAACATTCGTGTATTTCTTTCTTCAGATCTGAAATCAGTTGTATATTTAACTTATCATATAAACTTGATCTTTCAGCACCATTCAATTCTGTTGACAACTGTATTCTTCTAGACCAGTTGGGAAGGTTGGGAAGCATGATGTCGCAGGTTTTTGTGTGTTTTTCAGTGGGCAGGTTCAGAAGGTGGTTATTGTGGGTAGAGGGAGATCAGACCCCTGACCATTTCATGATGAAATGCATCAGGGTTCAGACCACTTTTGTTAGTGTTTGGGGATTAACCCCTAGAAGAGTATTGCAGCAGTAGTCAAGCCAGGAAGCCAAACGAGAGTGGAAGGGCCCCAGAGTATACACACACTGAACACAAACACTGTTTGTAGTTTAAATAGTTTTTAATCCATTTAGAGTTTAAAGCATTGTCATTCAGTCCATTAAGTCATTCACAGTATTTCCATCCAGTAAGACTCACTAGTATAGTCCAAGTTAAGAGTCCTTGCAATATCTTTATCAGCCGATAAAGATATCTTCTCCTCCTCCGGTTTCACTCTCCAGAGAAACAAACGCTGGATATTCAGCAAGAAGTTCAAACAGTAGAACAGTAGAATTACGCAGTAAATCAGCAAACAGTCACAGGCACAGTACAAACAGTATTCACAGTTAGTCACAGTAAGTCACAGTCACAGGCACAGTTACAGTAAGACACAGTTAGTCGCAGTAAGCTTTCCAGCTTCTAATGCTTCCTTATATTGTAACTTCTAACCGCACCCTTAATCGGCTAATTGCCTGCAGCATTGTGCTTAAAGTGATAAGCACTTAAACCATGATATCTAAGTTTTATATATTTATTCACCCAAACCATATTTGGTATCAATGTTATACCTAACAACTTTCCTATCCTGTTTAACATCTACACAACATTTATGGGAGAGGGCATCTGCCAGTTTGGGGTGAAATCTCATCATGGTGGCACAGTGGCTAGAATGCAGTATTGCAGGCTAACTCTTGTTACCGCCAGAGGTTTGAACTTCATCAGCTGAAGTTTGATTCAGCCTTCCATCCTTCTAAGGTCAGTAAAATTGCCCCCAAATTGTTGGGAGCAATATGTTGACTCCATAAATTGCTTAGGGAGACTTGTAAAGCATATGAAGCTGTATATAAGTCTAACTGCTATTGCTATAATATACTGGTGTTATCTAGTTATATACTTACACCCAAAACTGCATTCAGTTTTGACCACCATGATGTAAAAAAAATGTTGAGACTCCAGAAAGAGTGCAGAGAAGAGCAACAAAGATGATTAGGGGACTGGAGGCTAAAGCATATGAAGAACAGTTGCAGGAACTGGGTATTGCTAATCTAATGAAAAGAAGGACTAGGGGAGACATGATAGCAATGTTCCAATATCTCAGGGGCTGCCACAAAGAAGAGGGAGTCAAGCTATTCTCCAAAGCCCCTGAGGGCAGGACAAGAAGCAATGGATGGAAACTAATCAAGGAGAGAAGCAACTTAGAACTAAGGAGAAATTTCCTGACAGTTAAGACAATGAATCAGAAGTTGTGAATGCGCCAACATGGAAGTTTTTAAAAAGATGTTGGATAACTATTTGTCTGAAGTGGTGTATGGTTTCCTGCCTAGACAGGTGATTGGACTAGAAGACCTTCAAGGTCCCTTCAAACTCTGTTATTCTATTCTATTCTGGGAGATGTCTTAGGAGATATAACCTGAAATGAAAAAGTCTCAGAATCAATCCAAAGAGGCACAGAGGTTGTTTATTCAGAAGTTGAATAATGCCAAGGTTATACCATCTTTGACTCTTGATGGGGTGATGCTCCCGCAGAGAGTGCAGGCTTGCAATGAGCAGGACTTCTTGGACTAACTGTTCCTGATCAAAGAGCGGGTAGATATTATATTTTGGAAGGCATTTGCATAGCTTTGGCTGTTCCACAGGATGATCTGAAGAGTCTCACTCATGCCTTCTCATCATTTGTTCAGATAATTATAATCCATAGCACCTGAGGCTACTCTTAAAGGCCACTCCCGGAAAATGTAATAATACATGTACTCATTGGTCAGACATGATAGTGCCACATTACTCCTCTGTTGCTAGTTTCCAAATAGATTTCCAAGTGCAGTTCAAGGTATAGGTATAAAGCCCTATATACTTGATGACCTGGGTATCTTACAGGTGACTTTTCTTCAATAGGTTTTTGCCATCCTACCTGAACAACTAGGGATAGCCTACTAATATCCTCCATTTAAAATATAGTGAGATAGGCCCCAATGGAAGGCATTCTCTGTAGCAACTCATTCCTCTGCACTAGCTTTCCCCCAAAAGATAGATGTCTGCCACCATCACGGTCTTCTAGAAGCAGGTGCAAATGTGGCTTTTTAAAAGGGCCTTTGGGTTTAACTGTATTAGTGATATTTTTATTATTTTAATCATTTTATTTTGTACCTTCTTTTCAGTCTATAAATTCTGTAAACTTCCTAAAATATGGTCAGTTTCCAGAGCTTAGACACATTTCATAAATAAATGCAGATAGTGTGTTTACAATTGGTTGCTTAGCAACCATTTGAAGTTACAAAGGAGCCCCCCCCCCTCAGGTTACTTATGACCAGAATTCGAAATTCCAGTGGCTACCCGCCCCTGACCCCAGTGTCACATCACATTTTGGGCATTTAGCAGTCAGCCCACATATACAGCCCCATGGTCACATGATTGTTATTTAATAGTTTTTTGCTGGAAATCAGCATTTTGTTCCAGTTTCTGGCAGAAAAACATGCCCCTTGCGGACAATGGATTCTTTTAATGACCACAGTGATTCTCTTAACAGCCGCAACAAAAAATGGTGCACCTTGCCATCCTTTAGGAGAGGTTTGAAACCATGACTTTCCAAACTGGCCAAAATCTGACCTCAGATATTGGAGGATGGCTGGTTAGTGTTTAAATGCATTTTTCTTTCAATATGCTATACGTATGTCACTTTATATTGTATTTATGCTATTTGTGCCCGGCCTATCTAAGCTTGTTATCAAACAAGGTAGTTTGATATCTGAGATTGTTATCAAACAAGGAGATGGAGATGACTCTGTTGACACTTATTTGGATTAGTCTTGTTGGCAATCTCATCCCTGCAGATTCAAAGGAACAAAGACAAGAGAGAGGGAATGTTTCTTACATGCAAGGTCCTCAAAGCATCCAGTTGGCCACACTGGAGAAAAAAGATGGGTTTGGCCTGATTGAAGAGGGCTGTTCATACTTTTTTATAGCCATTCAAATAAAATATATTGTACTAGCTCAAAGTATAGAAATACATCAGATATTTTGAGTATGGCTTAGTCATCATAGAATATATATTGCCCTTGATTTCATAAAATTAAGCAATTGGTTTTTTTCCCCATTAAATATTGTTTTAATTTGAATTTCAGTGTGACATATCCTTTTATGAAAATGCACTCCATTTTTTGTGGAGCAAAGTCTGAGGAAAAGCTAGTCAAGGCCAGCCGCGATATGTATGACTGTGTCTACTTTTTTGTTTCTTCTATCAATACTGCATTCCGGATGCTCAACCAATTTCTTGGAAGTAAATTAGCCATAATTACAGTACAGGAAAACCTTAGCATCAAGGAAAATCTTCAGCTTCTACAGAGTGCTCTGAAAGAGATGCAGATGCTCGTAGAATCGAAAGACAAAGATTTCCAGCAAAAAATTGAAGTTCCTTTGTATTCTCAACTTATTCTGCCAACCCTTTCCACTGATGAAAAAATCAGGCTTGTAAAAGATATATATTCTCAATATAATGGTGTTTTTGAAAGTATCTGTGGTCCCATTTGTGCTGTTATAATTAAGCATGGTAATCTCCCTGAAATGCTTGAGGTTGCTATTCAGAATTTAATGAGTACACCCGTGCCGTCTCTTCAAGTGAGTGAGCTTCTCATGACCAAAGAAGAAATTGCTAAAGCCCTTCCAGACTCCAATCCCTGTTCATCTGACACTTCACCACCAATCAAACAGAAAACCCGCAGTTTTTCTGTTGTTCCCACTTCTTTTTCACTTACTAAATTCATGCGGATAATTCATTGTAAAAAACAAACATCTAAGGATCCAGTTCAGTTGGCTGCAGAAATCATGGCAGAAGCTGTTCAGATTTTGAAACCATCTTGTGAACATTTCCAAAGATATATTAAGTTGGCTGAAGAGTATGTCACATTGATCATTGACAAAAAGCAATAAACCAGAAGACAATTGCTCAGCTTTTAGAAATTTACTTCTCTTTACCCAGCAAGAAAGTTGCAAATAAAAAAAGAGAAAACTTCTGATTGCAGTATGTGTATTCCCATCTACAGTGCCAACACAAACATATGTATATGGTTTGGCTTCTGTTCAAAATTCCCCTTAATAACTTTGAAGTTGTTTTTTTTAATCAATTCCCTTGAAATGGCCTTATCCTCCTTTACTAATTCTTCCCTGTGCGACTTCTTCTCTTCTTCTGCTTAATTATTTTTACTGTATATACGTGGTTTTCATTTCTTCATCACATATCTATTTTTCTCCTTTTAATAACTATCCTCATTTTTCAATTCCAGTTAATTCAACTTTACTCAATTATAAATAATAATTTGACAAAGGAAATCCACTTAGCATCTTCTTCCTTCTCACTCTGTTTTTTTTTTTCCAAAGTAAACATACTCAGCATCTTGATTTGAAAGCATTTGTTTTTGCCTGGGAATTCCCATCGTTCCCATATATTTGAATTTGATGGCAAATAATTCAGTCTCCAGTAAATATCACAGTATCAAGACACAAAATGAATCTGATTTTGCTCCTCAAAGCAAGTTCAATTGAATGATTCAAGAAGATAGGCTGAATCCTTTTTTTCATCTCTCCTTGGTATAAAGCTCAATTTTGGTATATACCATATGTGCATATGAGCAAAATATGAGCAAAATCAGTATTAGCCCCCTAGCTGACTCACAAAAATTGAACATGGGCAATCAGTTCCTTGCATCTGATTTCTTAGGACAACCCTAGACAAATGGCATATTTATATATTTGTATTTTTCTTATGTTTGTGTTAACGCCATAGACGAGGGGTGTCAAATTTGGATTGTCACGGCATCATTACATGATGTATTGTGACATTTTTCCCCTTTGCTAAACTGGGCATGGGCATGGCCAGCGCATGACACATTTGACCCACGAGTTTGACAGCCCTGCTGTAGACAGTCAAATATTTAGACATAGAGTAGGAACATAGCTGTAGAAGTTTTTGGATGGAAGAGATTGTATAATAGGGTTATTTGTGCTTAAAGATAATTTGGAAATATGTTCTCGGCCTTCTATTAAAGCAGAAAAACAAAGGCTGCTTTAGTGAATAGCAGAAAGGTGCTAATTCTAGAACTTGAAAACAAATATAGCAAAAACCTTAGATACTAGGTTGATGTGAAATACAAGAAAGCTACTCCAGAAAATTTTATTTCATGGGCAATTTTTTTCAGGAAAAAAACAATTGTTTAAGAAATATAGCCTTCAGTCTTTTAGTCTTAATGAATACACCAAAACCTGGAGTTCAGGGGGGGGAAAAGTTGCAATTAGGAGGTAATTAGCATATACATTTCTAATGCAACCCAATGAAGAGAGGATTTATTGGCAGTTGGCTGCAACATTCCCTAACAGTAATTGAAGTTGCTGAATCTGTTTTTATAGAAACCTCCACCTACAGCACACTAAACTAAGGAAAGTCTCATTATAGCAAAATCTTCCCCTCCTTTCCTTATCAATTTTTCCTCTTTATGCCAGTTGTATTTCCATGAATTTTTTTTTTTAATTCTCTACTTATTGGCCATTGCTCAAGGATGCTTTTCACTAACTTCCAACTGTTTCATTAAGGGAAATTGACAATTGGAATGGATGAAGACAAACCATTAGAAATATAATCAAGTTAAGTGGTTCTTCCTCATTAATCTTTTTTCTTATTTCAGTGTATCTTAAAGCAGATGCTTGTTGCAATCCTAGTGGATATTCTGTTGGACATAATTCTTAATAAACATCTGTGTTCCGGGCCCATTCCAAATGCTTTTTTCCCCTATATACTCAGATGAGTACAATAGCCATGACCACATATGTTCCAAATTGGAAATGTAAGAAGAATATTTTAAATTAAATCCATATTTCAGCATCCTTCCTTAGTCATTAAATGAAATGATCGTATGTTGTCGGCAAAATAATGGTAATGAGAGAACAAAAAACCAAAACAAGCCTTTACATTTGCATCACTATATTCTAGTTCCTAGTCAGGAACATGTTTAATCCCATTACAGTTAAGGACTATATCCTCAGCATAGTTGAGGAATGTGTTTCTTTGAAATATTTGCATTGTACATGAGAATTTTGTATTATTTATTTTTTTATTTCAGATGCTTCTTTGACCAGGACAAAAACATAAGTGTGCATTGATGAATTGATGTAAAAATTTATGAACTTATATAAGAAAAACCTTATCAACAATACCCTCCACCTTCATAGAAATTCCTTCTATCACATCGCAGTTTGAAATGTGAGAACATTTAGCATAGCATCTCTTTAGAATAGAATAGAATAGAATAGAATAGAATAGAATAGAATAGAATAGAATAGAATACTTTATTGGCCAAGTGTGATTGGACACACAAGGAATTTGTCTTGGTGTAAATACTCTCAATATACATAAAGAAAAGGTACATTCGTTAAGAATCAAGAATCATAACGTACAACACTTAATGATAGTCATAGGGTACAATCAACAATCAAATCATACTAGGAAACAGTCAATATATATCGTAAGGATACAAGCAACAAAGTTACAGTCCTACAATCACAAGTGGGAGGGGATGGGTGATAAGGAGTGATGAGAAGATTAACAGTAATAGTAGTGTACACTTTGTAAATAGTTGAACAGTATTGAGGGAATTATTTGTTTAGCAGAGTGATGGCTTTCGGGGGAAAAATTGTTCTTGTGTCTAGTTGTTCTGGTGTGCAGTGCTCTATAGCGTCGTTTTGAGGGAAGGAGTTGAAACAGTTTATGCCCAGGATGTGAGGGGTCTGTAAATATTTTCACAGCGCTCTTTTTGACTCATGCAGTATACAGGTCCTCAATTGAAGGCAGGTGGGTAGTAATTGTTTTTTCTGCAGTCGTAATTATCCTCTGAAGTCTGTGTCTGTCTTGTTGGGTTGCAGGACCAAACCAGACAGTTATAGAGGTGCAGATGATAGACTCAATAATTCCTCTGTAGAACTGTATTAGCAGCTCCTTGGGCAGTTTGAGCTTTCTAAGTTGGCGCAGAAAGAACATTCTTTGTTGTGCTTTTTTGATGATGTTTTTGATGTTAGGTGTCCATTTTAGGTCATGTGATATAGTAGAACCTAGAAATTTGAAGGTTTCTACTGTTGATACTGTGTTGTCTAGTAGTGTAAGAGGTGGTAGTATGGGAGGGTTTCTTCTAAAGTCTACCACCATTTCTACTGTTTTGAGTGTGTTCAGTTCCAGATTATTCCGGTTATACCACGAGGCAAGTTGTATAACCTCCTGTCTGTATGCAGATTCATTGTTGTCTCGAATGAGACCAATCACTATTGTGTCATCAGCAAACTTCAGTATTTTAACAGATTGATCATTTGAGATGCAGTCATTGGTATATAGGGAGAAGAGAAGTGGAGATAGCACTAGCCTTGGGGGGGGCCCTGTGCTGATTGTACAGGTATCGGATGTGATTCCGTCTAGTTTCACCTGCTGCTTCCTGTCTGTTAGGAAGCTTATGATCCACTTACAAGTGTGTTCAGATACCACTAGTTGGTTTAATTTACTTAGAAGAGTGTCTGGAATGATGGTATTGAATATTTTACCATTAGGTTTCCCCAAAAGTGACCCTCAACTTCCAATTACCTTAATAAATTTTTGCCTTCCCTTTCCAAGAAATGTCACTCGTGTTTCAAGAAATACTGGAATTTATAGAATTGCTAGCAGTGTTAGTACTTACTTGGTCCTCAGAAAGTAGAAAGTACTTATTTCTTAACTTTAAAGCGAATATGTTGCTGTTAAAGTCTTGTTAGTGAAATAGAAACAAGATGCTATTTTTGTTTTTCTTAAGCTGCCCCGCACCAGTCACTCTTTGTCCTTGGAGATGTCACAGTTGGATGAGAAATGACTATATTCAGATGCTTCCAAAGTAATGGCGATATGCTGTAGGAAATCCCACTATTTCAGAGTAGTAGTTACAGGGTGCGTAATGCTCACACTGTTCTTGCCTCATCTCCATCGGGGACTTGAACATTTCATAGTACCTGAAGTACAGGGAGAAGATCAGAGGGAGAAGCAGCAATACTGTGAAACTATGTTGGAGACTTGACTTCATAGCCTTGCACTGTATTCAGGGGCGGGAACTTCCAGGAGGACCATTTTTCACCTTCCCAAGGGTCCAGAGCAGAGGTGGTATTCAACAGGTTCTGACCAGTTCTGGAGAACCGGTAGCAGAAATTTTGAGTAGTTTGGAGAACCAGCAAATACCACCTCTGACTGGAGATTTTACAGTATCCTTCCCCTGCCATGCCCACCAAGCCATGCCCACAGAACCGGTAGTAAAAAAAAATTGAATCCCACCACTGGTCCAGAGGCTTCCCTCGGGCCTCTGGGAGAGCGAAAATGGCCTCCCCCAGGCCAGAAAATGGCCTCCGGAAGCTAGAAACATGCTTGTTTCGCTACTTCCAGTAGGGCCATTTTTTGTCTTCCCAAGGGTCATTTTATTCTTTAAAATAATTTCTAAAGGAATTTTTTCTTTCAGCAAATTGAAATTTGGCAGAAAAAAATATATTGCTGGTAACAATTAACACCAATTTAGAGTTTATTTTTTCTTAACTCTCTAAGGCTGATTCAGTGTTATGATGCCAGTGAGAAAATGATTGACTATTATACGATGGAGAAAGAAATCCACATAAATTAGAACAAAATGATGACATGCAGGGATCAGGAACAGAGTGGGCCAAGAATTAGTGGAGTTATCCGAAAAAGTAGAACCTTGAGATCCCAAAAATAAGGGAGCCAGGTAAGCCTAAGTGGTGGATATTGAAGGAAAAACATGAGTTTCTATAACTTGGGCAAAAGTGAAGAGCAAAACATGTGGATCAAAACTGCAAGAGAAATTGTATTCATCCCCAGAACCATGATGACAGAAGCAAGATGTTACAAGGCTGCAGGAAATACAGGATCATAATACTCTAGATCTGTGGCAAGAACGGCTATTGGAAGGAACATAAGGTTTGATGGCTGATGAGAAGAACCTCAGTCCCGAATGTACTTAATAAAATAAGCAAGTTTTTTATTGGCATCATTGTGGCCCCTTTCAGTTGTACTAGAAGCCAGAATATGTATAACTATATCCAGGAGTGGGATTCAAATTTCTTAACAACCGTTTCTGTGGGTGTGGCCTAATTTGTGGGTGTGGCTTCATCATGTGACTGGCTGGGTGTGGCTTGCTGACTGGGCATGGCTTGGTGGTCATGTGCTTGGGCATGGCTTGTATGTAAATATTATAAATATTTATATAAATATTGAATTTTTTATAAAAAAGAGCAACTTTTACCCAAAATCAGGCAAAGCAGGCAGGCAGATTGAGTTGCTTACAGAATCATAGATTCATGCAGAGATCTATCTTTCTCCAACCTGCTAGCTGAGTCACATAACATTTGCTAGCAAGCAAACTCACAAAATTAACTCACAACACACCATGTATGTAAACATTGAATTTTTTATTTAAAAAAAGAACAACTTTTACCCAAAGCAGGCAGGCAGATTGAGTTGCTCACAGAATCACAGATTCATGCAGAGATCTATCTTTCTGCAATCTGCTAGCTGAGTCTGCACTGAAAAATAAAAGTTTCAATCCTAAGGAAGGTTCAGCTCTGCTTTTAAATTAGCTAGAAAGCAAGAAATCCAATGATTTCCTTCTTTCTAGCTAATCTAAACTGGAACAGCAGAACAGCTGATGGTTGGGGGGGGGAAGGAAAAATAGCAACTTAGCAGGCAAGTGCGTATACCAGGTAAGGAGTGAGAGGGAGGGGAGGGGTGGGGCCAGCCAATGGCACGATTTGCCAGTTCTCTGAACTGCGCAGAATTGTAAGAACTTGTTCTATAGAACCGGTCCGACCAGGTAGAATCCCACCCCTGACTATCTCCAGCCATTACAGAGGCATAATCATAGCATATGAAAATCATAACATTTAAATATATTCCTGCTTTTTGTTTATTTCATACATTCCACTCCTTCATGAGATTATAACAGCTGTGTGCCATGAGTCAGGATGCATTTAAACTGGATGCATTTAAGCCAAATAAGCACTTCTGAAATACTACATCAGTTACACTGAATATCACCTTAAAAAGCACTTTCTCCTCCCCACAATGATATTTAAATTAGTCTTGTTAAAGCGAAGAAGAATTAATTTATTTCCAGTAGCTATGGAATCACACATGCTGGCATTTCAATGCTTTTCATAATCTTTGCATTCATCTTTTCTCAGTTACATTGAGAATTAATAATTACACGTATCTGCATTACCTTTCAGAATATGGGTAAGCCCTCTTCTGTCTTCTAATAAAGGTGTTTGCTTTTTCCTGATCAATTTTAATTCCTGTCGTAAATAAAATACATTTAAAAATGGGAAAACAGTTTTAAACGCCAAGCACAAAATAGTTTCTGAAGTTAAAATTCCTCCCATGCTCTAGATTGGGTGGGAAAACCTGTAGCCCTTGAAATTCCAGTTGCTTTTTGTGCACGGACACACAGCCAGTGGCAAAAACCCTCTGCCCAATTGTACCTTTTTGGAGTCTCCCTTCCCCACCTTTTTGGAGTCTCCCTTCCCCACTTGGCTGGAAGCTGAAGTTCTAAAGGCAGTGGGCACATAAAAAACACATTGGCATTTGCAAGCAATAGCACAAAAAAGTTGGCAGTAGCCAGGATATCAGGAGCGGTGCAGCCAGCACCACGGGAACTAGAATATCAAGAACTAGGTTAAGTGACTTTGGACAGTGTTGTGTGATGTGGGAAACAGTTGTGTATAAAGAACCATAAAGATATGCGACTATAGCAGTAGGACAATGAAAGAGAGTAGTTTTGTATCAAGCTAGATTAGAGCATACAAAAAAGGAACAGAAAAAGAATGCAGAAGTATAGCATACATAAAAATAAAACAAATACTGACACAAGTGATAGGATACTAAATACCAGTATTAAGTACTAAGTAGGGTAGGAACAAATAAGGTAAAATACTAAAGTGTAAATATTTGGACTTTGTAAAAGTTTGATAATTTAAAATTCCTGCTTACAGGAATTGTCTCACCTATTTAGTTTAGAACCTCCCCTAAATTGAATGTATGAAACCGAGAGTTCCCTTATTCTGGCTTGCTGCTGACAACTAAAGATAAGGTTCCTGTCTGTTTGAAGTAGGAAGCAGGTGAAAGTTTCAGTTTAAATTGTGAAATAGAAGTAGCAATTAAAAAATAAAACTAGTCAAACATCTCCCATCCTACTCTGCTTATGTGAATGTTGTGGCCCTTACCTCCCCTCAGAATACAAAGTGTGTTCCTCTGCAAGCAAACATTAGGGTTGCAAAATGGAGTGTTTACTGACAGGACATTGACTGAAAGAAAACCCTGCAGTTTCTATTCAAAGTCCCAACTTCTCACAGTCTAACTACCTATCCAGGGACGTGATTATGACAGAGTAGCATTTCTACATTCAGGAAGTAGGAATTCTCTGAAAAATAGCTTTGAGACTGATTGTTTTGTGTTATGGAGCTTCTACAATGTCCAGATATAAAGAACTGTCAAGTAGTGATTTAGTGGCTCAATATGCTCCATTTATTGGGCAACATGTCTTCTCCAAATGTAAATACAGTGGTTCTGTCTAGCAGTCATAATTGTGAAAATATTCCTTGAACCAGAGTATTCAAAATTTATATTAGTATGCCACATCATATTAGTGTTCAGTGTTGTACACTAGAGGTAGTCTTCAACTTACCAACTATTCATTTAGTGACCATTCAAAGTTACAGAAGCACTGAAAAACGTGACTTACAATCAGTCCCCCCACTTAGAATCAACACAGCTTCCCCACAGCACATGATCAAAATCTGGCTGCTTGGTGCAGTGTCCTGAGATCATGTGATCGCCATTTGGGAACTTCTGAGAAGCAAAGTCAATGGGGAAATCCATATTTGCTTAAAGACCATGTGATTCACTTAATAGTTGCAGTGATTCTCGGACTTCCGGTTTGTCGGCTTCGCTAGCGGCAGGGATTCGTGATACTGCGCGATCCCTGCGGCGCTAGCTGTTTTGGTGCCTCCGATCCAGACGGGTTTGGAGGCTAAGGCTGCCCTGCAGGGGTGGCTGAAGATAGGGGGGATCCGGAGAGGGGTTTGGGGGTATTGCAGACCCCCTCCCCGGCCGGCAAAACCCCCTTTTCTCAAGACGGTGCAGCAGCGGTCCGCAATGGCCGCCACAAAGAAGCCGGCAGCTGGGTAAGAATGTGCAGGAGGAAGAGGAGAAAGTTTTTTTTTAAGTGAAAGTTTTTCTTGGCTGACCCAGGACTTTAAGACATATTTAACATCCTGAGAATTATGGCTTTTTGAATGTACTTTCCAGAAGAGAACTATAAGCGGCAATTTTGAGGTGCTGAAAGGAAAGTTTACTCTCCTTCCCTATGGAATCAACAAATGGATATTGAGAATCTTGTCTTTTTATAGAAAGTTAAAATTTGCTTTTGGTGATAAGTGGGAAGGGAGAGGACAATATATATATATATATATATATATTAAGATCTTGTTGGAGGAGATGCCTTAAGGATTTGAAGACTGAAATTTATTGCAATAAGGCTTTAAAATACAGATTTGGTCGTTTTTTTTAATTGATATTACCCCAGGAAGAGAAAGTGAGAACTTTGTTTTGGCTTGGACTGAGTGGTGACTTTGGGATTTTGGGACTGTTCTAACTTTTGAAACATCTTGGTTGTTGTAAGAAGAAAGAGGAAAAAAAGAAAAGAAAAGATTTATAATGGCTTTTTCTGTTGAGGAACTGAGAAAAGAATATGAGCAAACAAAAAAAGAGGGCAAGGACGCTGTAAAGGAAGCTTTTCTCTTTTTAGAAATGGCGCTTGCTATTTATCAACAAACACAACAACAGATGGAGGAGGAGGAGGAGGAGGAGGAGGAAGAAGAAGAAGAAGAAGAAGAAGAAGAAGAAGAAGAAGAAGAAGA